TCTCGTAGACTACGTCAAATTGAACGCCGTATTGAGGCCAAACGACGGGAATCAGCAGGTCTCTAAGTAAAATCAACCAAAAAAATTTTTCATGCACCTTCATATGAAATGAAAGTCTCCACAATATTGCTACGAGTGAACATGAAAAATAAGCGAGGCTCTATAAAGACATTTAAGCAGAGAAGTATGAATATATGGACAAACATCCTAAGGAGTTGCCTATAATTTTACTCACCTTTCTTCAGGTTATGCCTCTGTCGCATGAAACGTAACTCCTCCTCTGCTAACTTCGCCCGACCATTCAGCTGTACTTCCTCTATGCGCTCAGAGCCTGCCCGCTCGAGGTCGCGACGTAGCTGTTCGATTTGACCAGCCTTTGCCTCGGCTCGTTCAGCACGCTCCAGACGCTTTGCTGACTTTCGTTTCACCGCCTTCATACGAGGAGTCTCCGCTTGTGCGGCTCTTGCCAACCAACTTCGAGCTCTTCCAGGTCTTGAGACCTGCTCACGGTTGGTGTACTGCGCTGATCTAAGCTCATTTTCATCCTCCATCAAAGGCGTCACTCGAATACCCCCATTCAATTCACAAACACCGGGGTCGATCCGGCAGTCAGTAATAGGGTTGGCTGGTGGGGGCCGGGATCGTGAGGTGGGCAGAGAGGCAAAGGACCCAGGTTCTAGACCAGCCAGGCCAGAAGCTTGACCCCGACACACAGCAGACCGATCAACCCTGGGCAGGACGGAAAGGTTGCTGAATGAAGAGCCCAGTCTGGAATTAGCGGACATATCGTCCTGATTAGCGATAGGAGAACGTAAGGGCTTAATTCATTTGGAATAAAAGTCATGAAACAAAGAAAAAATGACATTTTGTTCACAGCTCTTTGGTTTCAGTAAACCCATAAGACCTATAGGCCAGAGCAAACACAACGAAAAAGTATAGCGAATGCAATAATTTATTTGATTCAAACGGAATAAAAATGTAACTTGCTCGATAAGCATATTAGAAGAGAATGATTGAATAATGAAAAATCGATTAACAACAGGATAGTGCAAAAGAAAACGAAGCTAAGCTAATACTAGATACTTCGTCATTAGATCTTTATCATGCAAAGGAGATATGTCGTAAAAATAATTTTAGGTTGGTAATTCTAGTTCATATCGAAGTGCGAAACAGGTGGATCCGTTGTTTACGTCTAGTTAACGGCAGAGCCTTTCAGACCACGGCTATACTAACCTCTTCTTTGTAGTAGAATCGAGCTAAAAATTAACGATGAATTGTCTTCTGTCAAACTAAATGTGTACTTAGTATTATTTAAAGTAAGAACATGCTAAGTGTAATCTTAGGTAACCAATTAATTAGAAACCATAGATATCTACTCGTAAATGGGGACCGATAAAATCATAAATTCAATGGGAAAAATTATTTAAATAGGGAAATAAGGATCGCAAGATATTTTATGTACCTCTTAAGGTAGGGTAAATGTAATTCAAACAGGAGTCAGAGGCTAATATGCTTGAACCTAACTGCACTATTATCTGGGGATAACCATCGAAGGAATCCAAATTATAATGATGTAGTACAAGAATTTCAAATTTAAAAATATTTTATCAGACTCAGTAACTTTCAAACAAGGGTCACTTACAAAAAGAGTAGATAGCAGTTATTTATAAATGACTCATGGATTATACATTCGGCTAATCCGTTTGCGGATTTTAGCCATCACAGCCAGTATTATTACGAACAAGGTTTGAAGTATTAAGGCATTGAGGAAAATTCAACCATTAGGCCTTCATCACGTTATGCGACCCAGGATGACTCTTGCTATAACTACGAATTGATATTAACTGAAATATCGTACTTAGCATGACTATATAGCCCTCCAAAGCGACTTATACTTATAACGGAGTTAGTTTATTTTCAAGTGTAATCATATAAAGTTCACAATGTAAACAAAAACTATTTATTTTGGAATCTTCAATAATATTAATGCACTAGAACTGATTTTAGAAAAAATATAAAGTGCATAAGCAATGCCAACGTTTTAAGATTAAAAAATTAGTATCACATTAATTAAAGCCTAAAATGCCTTAGACAATAAAGCAAGACTGTTATATAGTTCGTAGGATGCTGCTAACTTCTTTTCATTGCAGTCCACTTTAGCTGTATAATGTTGGTTCAACCTTGTTTTCGCAACCTAGTTGAGCGACAGAGACCTCACGAAAGTTACCTATCTCTGCGTCCTCTAGCATAGTA